CCTTTTCATCTCTTCTTTTTCTGTGTAAGCAAAGTCAGCTAGGCAATGTATTATAGCAGACCAACTGTCAACTTCCAAATCATGCCTATCTATGCAACCGACTCTCTTCTTTTCTCACTTCATTTCATAGCATATAAGCCGTGATAAGCCCAAAATACCGCGGGAAAGGAAAACCGTCAAGCGCTGAGAAAGAGGATAATGCCGGCCTACACAGAGCTTATATTTAAATCTGGGCTCTCGACTCTGGGCTCTCGGTGGAAGGAGAGAAGAGCTGCCTGGTCGCGGTTCGAAACTATGCGCGCCTTTGATTTTGTTTCCCTCTTACTCTCTTTTCTCTCTTTCTCTCTCTTCCCTTTCTCCCTCTTTTTCTCCTTCTCCCTCTTTTCTCTCTTCGTATGGGCCCAGTTGTTTACGAAGCGCAGAGACATACCTACATAACATCAGCACGTCGGCACCGCCACCACAGAATAAACGTGCATCCACTCTCACCTTAACTCCTTGGTCCCAATCACGCATATCCGAATCGAGATATACGACCATAGACAATTCTGCAAGCCTGATTCAAGGACGGAAACCGTCACAGGAATTCACGCCTGCCTTCCCCCTTTTCCATACTACAACCCTTTCGATCTTCGCCTCTGTATACACATCTGAAATTGAACATAGCAAAGCAGCCTCTCAGATATCCCGGAGATCGCTGTCGTGAAGCGTGATTTTTCCGCGGACGAAAATCCTTGGCGGTGTGTTGATCGATGGGCGGGCCGGGTTGCTCTCTTTTCACGCCGGTCTGGAGGGATACGTCTCCTTCTTTTGTATATCCGTGGCTACGCGTGCTGTGTCTGTTGTCTGTTCCGTTTGTAAAGAGTCAGCTGTCGGTATGAGCGATCAGTACCCTTTTCCCGAGGCCATAGACTTTGATATTTGGTTCATGCTGCGCTGCACTCTTTGATTGGATAATCCTATGAGGCTTAGTTCATGCCTTCACGTACGATCGATCATCTTCCTCTGTACTCTCTATCTTTGCCTGTTTCTTGACCCGATAAAATAAGTAAGAGTGGTATCGACGAGAACATTCCATCAGCCAGCCGCGAATCCAAACTCTGGAAGAACAAAAAAAGAAAAAAAAGAAAGGCTAGGCTTCATACAAGAACAGTACAGTAGCCCCCTCTTTCCGCTTCCGCATCAAAAAATACATGTCGCGCGTATCACGGGGACAAACACAACTGCCGGGCTCCTGCCTAACATGGAGGTTGACCCAGGCGCCACCCAAGGCCAGCTCCCACTGTACTCGCAGAACCCCCCACGATCCACTGACCTGAGAACCCCCCACGATCCACTGACCTAGACCCAAACGCGTATCTCTCCCTCCCCAGAGCCCAGCGACCCCTCCCAGCGCGCTCGACGATAGCCAAGTGAAAGAAAAAAAAAAATCTACTTTCTCTCTTCCCAAGGGCTACTCTCACCGCCTCGGCCTCTTGTCGCGCGGTGGAGGGCGACAATACTAGACTAGACACTGCAAAGCGCACTGCAGGTCCGCTCTTGCGCACCACAACAACCTCTCAAACCCCTCCCGGCGCTGCGCTCGCGCCTGCTGCTCTCAGAAGGGAACCCCCCAACCGAACCTCCCCGCCCAGAAGTCACAGCAGCAAAGTAGTCATAAAACAACACGGAAAAAAAAGGCCGATTCTCTCCAGATCGGCACCCCCCGTCTCGTTGTTCTCTTCTCACACGAACCCCGTCTCGCTCGCTGTCCTGCTCTCGACCGCCCTGTGGTGCGCCGGGCAAGATGGATGGACTCTTTCTCGGCTCGCTTAGCCTTAGCCTTAGCCTTAGCTTAGCGAGACTGTGTGTTTTGTTTTGTTTACCCCCTCCCCCCGGCCAACTCCCTGATAAAGGTTATTGTCGTGTAGCTATTGCGTAGAGCTCGCTTTGATGATATTAGAGGTTTTTGCCCGCGTCTGGATTCGGGAAGGGGATAGATAGGGGAGGGGTTAGTGACCGTTTGGATTCGTTGTTTTGGCACGGCTATTTGCAATTTGCAGGTGATGACGACTGGCTGGGTGGGGGCGATGCACGTTCGTAGGAGGAAGAGGCGTTTGCTGTTAGCGAAGTAGGAGTATCCTGATGAAATAGCATGGGGAAATGGCCTTGGAGTATTCGAGTATTTGGTATTCGAGTATTCTGTATTCTATCCACGACTTGAATCCCTGCCCACGAGAGATCTCGCGCCTGGATATCGAGTAGCGGCCTCGCCCCGTCCAGGCTTCATCGTGCGTGCATCTCCAAACCCCTGCTTCCGAGGACGTTCGATCTCTTCGAGTAGAGTGACTTCACACGTATCGTAGAGCGCGGCTTGTGCACTGCTAGCGACTGCCGCGACGGGCGTGGAATTCGCGTTGCCGCGCGGGGTTTCGCTCGTTGCGAGCGGGGAAGGAGCTGGCTTTGTTTTGTGTGAGGGGAAAGGGGAAGGTGCACGTAGGTGGCTGGGTGTGGGTAGGTGGCTGGGTGTGGGTGTGCTTTTGTATTTCCGTCCTTGCTTACATGCAGCATCATAACCGAACACATTTCCGAGGATGCGGAGCGGTGATGGTTTCATCACGAGGGGGCTCACTTTTTTGGCTTGGTCTACGGAGGTAGTGCAAGCGGGATCGCCCGATCTTCCATCGTGAAGAAGAAGGGGCTGTACAAATACACGAGGGGGGCTACGATTCTTCACCCCGTACGAAGTGCCTCTGCCGAACCCTCCAGCTCTCTTTCCTGCGGCCGGAGAGGTTGGAAAGCCGGGGTCGGATCCCAGCTGCCTTTCGAAGAAAGGATTTTGCGTTCCGACACGAGCCTGCCTCCTTGCTTCTATCTCGATTACCGCGTCGATTACGCTCTGTGCTCAACGGGCGTCCCGATGGGGGAAAAAAAATACTAAAAAGATTGGCGAGGACGAGAAGACGAATATATCTATATTTTTTTTTAAAAAAAAAGGATAATAGAAGGGTTTGAAGACGAGATACGATGTTGCGCTTTCGAAAAGGCTCGACAATCGATACCGAATACATGTTACTCACGTTGTAATTTCCTCTTCGAGTTCTTCCTTCGACGAGAATATCTCTCCTTTAGCGAGTTATCTCATTCGTAAAAAAAAAAAAAAAAAAAAAGGCATAATCGATAGCCGCCGCGCTATACCAACTTGGAATGCTCTCCAGAGTTGCAAGAATCATGCGATACCGCGGGATTATCAGAGACTCTCGAGGCTATTTCGAAGAAAGTTCTCTCTCTAGCGTAGGTTTCTCACTCTCGATTGAAATAGTACTCGATCTATGATTTCTTCACCTAACGCGTCGCCGTGCCTTGGAAGAGGTCCCTGGGCGGCGAGCAAAGCTTGCCACCCGTCCGACGTTGGTAAATACAACAACGATAACAATAATATCAGTGTACAAATACATAGCTTCAGCTGCTATCATGCTATCCCCTGTTGTGAACATCTGTTACTAGTGCCAACTTGAAGCTGCTATAGAAACAAGGTGGTGCTAGGCCAAGTCTCGACGTTTGACCAGAGAGAGTCGGGACCTCCCTCCTTCCTTTTTCAGAGAATCCCGTGAGGGGGGAGGGGGAGATGCTGGACTGAGTCTCGGAGTATGTGCGATAGACTCCGAAAAATCGCTGGGAACCTGCAGGATTGACCTCTCGATAGATATGGTACGACGCTCACAGCTCATCACAGATGTAAATTTGGCGATTCAATATTCACAGGCAGAAACATTCTTCTCTGTCGATCGAGCAACCGCGCGGTATGCATGCAGGAAGATACACTCGGTGCTCGTTTGTTCCGGCGGCGCGGGCTTCCGAAAAGCCGGTTCTCGCTGAGAGAGGGGGTTTCGGTAAATCCAGCCTCTGGTCAGCACATTTAGTTAGGGAAAGAAAAAAAAAAAAACAACAACATTCAGATACCTACCTCTACGGGGTGGTCTGAACACCTTTTCGCCGCCTCGCCTGAAGGCAGTGGTTTGGAGAAAACCTCGTTCGGACTTGGGTTCCAACGACCGGGTTAAGGTTTTCGCGCTAAGTGATAGCCATTGATTGCCCTTTGAAGCCAAACCACCTTGCAAGCTTCACTTGATGGTATTTCCGTCAAATCGTGAGCTCTCAAACTGAACTTTTTATACATTTGAAGTACGATTTAAGTGTATTGTTGCAGATAAGTCACGAGCTTCGCATGATAGTAATCAAGTACCAAGTCACGGATTAGAAGCAACCCCACTCTTTCCCCTACTTCGCCATAGCCGAAAAGCCCTTCGATCGAAACGACCACCGATCTCGCAAGGTTGCTACCGTCTCGTTGTTACGAACCCTCGAATATTCCGCAGACCGGTTCTGGCTGGCCTATTCGGTTTCATGAAGAGCGCGATTCATGCGCCGGACCAAAACGAGTCCTGACCGCTCGTCGTCTGATAACGCTTCCTCGACACGATTCTCGTCCGTATGGGGGCCAGGTCTAGGATTGGGTTTCTGGCACCCAGCATGCGACCACGATTCGCTCTCCAAAGCTGGCGGAGGGACGCCTATCTCTCATCTGGGGAACCCAGGGATCCCCAGACAAGCAGGAACTCAAATGCAGCTTGGAATCTACGTTTTACTCCCGTCTGCACGAGTAAGTGTCCGGTGCCAGTTTGTCGTGGGCTCTCCCCTCCCTCCTCTCGAGAGGAGGATAGAACTCGACAGCCGCTACTGAACGGGCATCGGCATGTGTGGTGTGGGATCGTTGCAACCAGCGGCTCACAAACATGACTCCATTGAGGACAGTTCATCTCATCTTCGGTCTGCCCTTTTCAACTTCTCTTTCATTCTACTATAGTGTATAAAACCAATCACCTAAGATTGATTGTCTAGTAAAGCCCGCCCCGCTCAGCTCTCACGCACCATGGTGGCAGACCCATCACCCGCGAGTACCGCACGGAATATTGGTCGGGGAGACGGCGGGCTCCACGACGTAATCATCATAGATCGCCAGATTTCCCGAGTGCGGCTTCATCGAAAGCACTCCGTCCGCGCCTTTGTTGATAGTGAATCGGGTAGAGTAGCTGCAGGGAGTAACGGTCAGCGGTCGCCACCAGTCGCTATGACCTGTGCGGGGATCAGTGGTACGTACTAAGCTTGCGAGCAGCTCCCGCCGTCGTAGGACGCCTCGATAACACCAAGCGAATGGAAGACTTTATGCTTGTCCGTCTCGGATTCGACTGTGGTGACATTCGGGCGATGGTTCCAGTGCTTGTTGCCGGCCGTTGGCAGAAGTTTGTGCTTCAGAGCGATGACTGTAGGGCGCAGACGGGTCAGTATTTGAATGGACGGCGAAAAGGATCGTGGAGTTGGGATCCTGAACAGAACAGCCCGGAAACGGGAGAAGCCAGGACTCTCTCTCTACTATGTAACATCGATTTTCATCGAGTCAAGTGCGAGAGAAGAGACTGCTTGGGACGATTCTCTGTCGCTACGTACTCTCGTCTGAGCCAGTGGCTACAACTTTCCGCACGATGAGCACACCATCGGGGGTGAAGAAGTTGGTGAACTCGGTGGTTGTTGCTGGGTCTTCTGTCATACGGTACAGCCTGCATCGAACAGATTAGGTGCCGAAGTTTCTCGTTTGGGGATGATGGAGCCTACTCAGAAAGGTACTCTCTGAAGCCGGCATCGATTCCCGGCCCCTCCGAGTAGTCGGCCATGTCCAAGGACTGGACTAGGCCGAGAAGGCTGACAAGACCCAGCGAGAGAAATTTCGAGAAGGATTTCATGTTGGCTCGGTTTTCTTCGAGGTAACGAGTGAGGTAACGAGTGAGGTAACGAGTGAGGTAACGAGTGAGGTAACGAGTGAGGTAACGAGTGAGGTAACGAGTGAGGTAACGAGTGACGGTAGGGCGAGGGAACGGTTAGGCATCGTAGGATCTTTATAGAGGAGCCGAATTAAGCTTACTTGTATTGTGATGACTCTGCTTACTTCCTTTGGCCTAGAAAGTAAGTACAGCCAGTTTCCGTACACGGTGCATTGATCCAATATCCCTTTCCGGATATTGACCGCGAACTTCCTTATGACTGTAGTGGCTATAAATAGGAGCCACTATAACAAGGAAGAGCCATGGGTTATGCCTTCTCGGTCGCGGTTGATGGTTTCATGTCGTGGTCAATGTAGTAGTAGCCAGCTCAAGAAATACTGTACGCCGCGACTTGCCCTGCCGGGGCAAGTTAGGTGGCTCCGAGTTGCTACATCGGATATCCTCTGCACCACTTTTACTCCATGGCTGGATCAGGGCTGAATCACAAACAGGTAGCGCTAGGCTTCCGAGCCTGTGGTGGCATACACCTACCTGCCTTGCTTTTTCATCAACACATAGTACCGTACTTAGAATAGGCCCTACAGGTCAGAAAACTCTCTGATGTAGACCCTCGCTAGAACTTAAACAGATTAACACCTTCGCGCGCCCCACAGCTACTTTCTAATCTAGTCGAAAGGTACTAATAGCATTGATATTACTGGTAGTATGTACCACGGTACAGGCGTAAGTACTACTACCCCTCGAAGGGTGCCTCAGAAGTCTAGTTTCCACTTTGAACCCCCCAGGTTATTCTACCCTCGAGGGGTAATACTTACGCCTGGGACGTAGTAGATTGCACTTAAGACGGCTTGACAACGAGCTGGCATACTCTCGATCAGCGCTCGAAAATGGCTTTCAAATGAAGGCTCGCTTCAAGATTCGGTATCCAAAATATCCTATCAGGCAGTCGGTTGTCGCTTGCGTCTCAGCCCGGCTAAGTTGGAAAAGTGGCTGTGGAAAGCGGGCGAGGGTTACGGTGCAACACGTAACCGTTGTACCTCTGTCACCTTGAGCACCCGCTGCTGCTCAAGGTCGCAGCTCTACAGGATGTCTCTCCCGGAGTATATTTCAGAAAGTCTATATAACCTTAGTCCATGGTTGATCCTTGGAGTCTCCAAGTCTGGAACAACTCTATTTCGTCTGCCTGAGGTCTCTCTTGACCAAGCGAATACCTGCCCACTTTCACTGCAGAAGTGTCCGGAATATTTCTGCTAAAGGTGTCTATTACAGACATAGGTACCTACCCCCCCCCCCCGCCTTTGAATAGAGGCCCTTTGAATAGAGGCCCTTTGAATACAGGGCAGCATACTGAGGGTGGCGCGAGCCAAAACAAGGCAAAAGTCTGTGCTTGCCACCCTTGGGACTCAGCCCTATATTCAGGCGGGGGAGGGCAGGGTCCAAAAGCATAAATCTCCTGTAAATCCTCCGATGACCCAGCCCTCGGGTTATGCTTGCGAGGTTATGCTTCTGGACCCCCTCAGGGTGTATGTAATAGTAACGGCTGTAATGAGGTATCAAGATCGGTAGTCGTAGCTGCGGCTGCATAAGCGAAACTACTAGGATAATTACAAAGCAGCATTAAGATGTAGGCACGCAGTATAATATCTACTTCACAGCTTTACAGCGATAACAGATCATGTAAACGAATTCAAGAAACGTGAAAAGATAGAGAAGGAACTGGGTGCGAAAGTAGTGGTAGTACAGTAATACAGTTAAGGCGTAGACTCTAGATTAGAGTTTAAACGTGGAAAGTTTTTTCCAACGACTAAACTTTTTTTTTTTTTACATTTCTATTATCAAGACAACCACTTTGAGATTTTCTTACTCAGCCCTGGCTATTGGCCGGTAGACGTAGGCTTCTTTTTATCCTTTGGCGTATTGGCGTATGCCTCCCGTACGGAGTACGACCCGTCTGGTCCAGCGCAGGAATCGCGATTTGCATTAAACCATGTTGCTCTAACCGGTTTTCGGAAACTCTGGGTTTCGTAACAGCGATCTGATGAAAACCCTTGCGGAATTGGTGATCGTTGGGTCGAAGGTACGTACTATTTGGGTCGCAAAAGGTAGCATTCCGGCTATAATAAAGTAGGGAAAAGAGTTGGTCTGTACACTTAGCACTATATTACTACCGGTATTATGCGAAACTCGTCACTTGTCAGCTATTTCCGTGGGAGGCTCGATTCTTCGGCTGTACAGATGCCTTCTACGAACCGTCAGCTCTCTCTCCTGCGGTAAAAAGAGTCTGGAGAGCCGAAATTAGATCATCGACATGCGGCGTCTCCTCGAAGAGACTTTCTTTTACCGGCGGTTCCGAACCTCCCTTTTCTTTTTTTCTTTTTTCTTTTTTTCATAAATATTACGTCCATTACGATCTATATCTAACGGGCTTACTGGTTGGAAATACCAAGAAGATTTGCGACAAAAAAGGAACGGATATAAGAGATCAGATAAAAGTGGCTTAATTCGATGGATCGAAAACACGGTGTTGCGCTTTCGAAAGAGCGCTTTGCAAATGCACCGGCTTATATAAGGGCCACGAACGCGAGCCTTTATAGCTTTACGGTAACGAGAACGATGTCTACACTTAAACAGATCGAAGCCGCTCGTAAGGCCACACGTATTCGATAATTACCGAGAAACAATTCGGTACAGGGTTTTTTTTTTTCTTTTCTTTTTTTTGAAATGCTTTTAAAGAGTTTATAAAGAGTCTGCGATACCGCGGGATCAGAGACCCGAAGCTATCCGAAAGAACCCCCCTTTTTTTTTACGTACTTTTCACTTTCGATTAAATAATATTCAATATATAATACATAATACCTTTTGTTTAGCACGTGGCCGTGCCTTGTTAGAAGTCCTAGGGTCCAAGCATTGCGTTTTGGATACCCAGCCGACATAAATGAGTAATACTATGACTACTTTAAAGCTAGGTACACAAAGAGGATTACATAAGTAGTCACCGCGTTATGAAATTTTCCAAAGGTCTATACCAGAGATCTTCTCGTTCAGATCCCACAAGGTGCATTTCAAAGTATCGATCGTAAATTTTAATAATCTGCAACCTTTAACCAGCAAACCCAGCTTTAGCAAGTCTTGCCCCTGGGATTTCAACAGACGTCTGATTTATAGTAGATGTTACAAAAGTCATTCCTTCCTGGCAAAAGCAATTATGCCCGCCGTTTCAGCAGAGGATATAAATTCAAAAACGTTCAACCGGATTCAGTTTTTAACGCAGATACCAAGCCAGATACCATGCCAGATACATAGCCCGTAGAATAAAATTCACCTTTTTTTTTCTCTCTCTCACTTCGGTATTGCGGCCGGAGATCGATCGTCGTTCGGTATGTTCGCCAGACGAAGAAGGAAGGAACTGCGGGCTAGGTCACGACTACACACACACACACACACACACACACACATATATATATATATGTGTACATCACTTTGATTTACGGCGCGCGCGCGTGTCTCATTCTTTCACAGCCCTGTAAGAACTAAAACCAGGCCCGCCCCCTCCCCTCAGACTCACAAGATGAGAGAGGTACACGACCATCCATGCCTTTTCCGCTCTTCAGTTCGCCATCACACACACACACACATGGATGGGCATGGGGATACAAGAAGAAGAAGTCCATCCGCATTCCTAAAAACAACCCGCTCTAATTGACAATACTGCGCGACTCGATATAATAGCAATGAAAGGTTGTATAAGGGTAGCGAGCGAATCTCGTAGTATTTTTAGAGAAAATCAGTTTGAGATAACTCGGTCGTGACGTCGAGGCCATACCA